TATAATATTTAGAAATTAAAGATGATACTTTTAGTGATACATTATATATTTCACACTTATGAAATATCATATATTTTACTTAAGAAATCTTAAAATAATTTTTTCTCTTCATTTTAAAACTGCATTTAAAATAACCAAATCGAAACCTAACATCATATGTAGATTAATTCCGAATAATATAATTAAGAATAAATAATATAATTATCATTAATATTGTCATCAAATATAGTTTTCTATGTCATCCTTTTGCATCATACTCTTTGAAAAATAATTCGAATTTGTTATAACTATAGTTTATAATGATCATTTTTCTATTGTAGTTTGGATTTTGGAAGCTAAAACATTATGTTTGAATAATTCGTTCTCAATTATTTTGATTATAGTGGTTGGAATTAGCCATATTTGCAAGTATAACATTTCATAATACCTAAATATATATAATTTTTCTCTAGTCATAATGACATAAGAGACACATAAATATTTGAAAATGTCTTTAAAATCATAATTATTTCAAAAAAAAAATATACATGAAAAAGCTTAGGAATATAAATATCTTTATTGATTGAAGATACTCATCTATCTAGTATATACATATCTTGTCCAACATAAATTATTGTTGCATCTCCTAAAATTGTCATACATGCATTATCTTCGTTCCCAGATTTTCAAGACTATCCTAAATGTAAAAATTTAATGAGTATAGTTTTAATGAATGATTCATACTTAAAGTAAATTCACTATTTATTTTTATTTAATTAATTTTAATTGTAACTATTTTATAATAAGTACACGTATTATAAAATTAAAGATTTAAAATAGAATTTTAGTTATTTTATTTTATTTCTGTAATTAATCTATTTTTGTTTATATTACAATTCAGTAAATGCTATTTTAATTCATGTAACACATTATTATAAAAAACATTTATACTATACATACTATTAAGAGGTAAACATGAATCATATTATGCATATTGTTTTAGTGAATAATTTAAGCAAATATTTATGTTAAGATAATATTTTTTTTACTTAACAAATAACTTTTTACCATAAAAAGTTGACATTTTGTATGTTGAATAATTATATTTGATTCAATCAAGCTTAGACATATGCATGTTCACTAAATTGTTCATGTTTAATTGTTTTAATACTATAACCAAAAATTTGTATGGTAAACAATATAATATTTAGAAATTAAAAATGATACTTTTAGTGATACATTATATATTTCACACTTATGAAATATCATATATTTTACTTAAGAAATCTTAAAATAATTTTTTCTCTTACATTTTAAAACTGCCTTTAAAATAACCAAATCGAAACCTAACATCATATGTAGATTAATTCAGAATAATATAATTAAGAATAAATTATTATTTAAAATATATTAATTTGTGTAGGTAATGTTTTGTATGTGTAAGAACTTAAAGATATAATTAAGCATCAAAAATA